GGTTTTGTTTGTTTGTTTGTTTTTGTAGGCAGATGTCAGCAATTTAAAGAATTTCCTTTCAGCTGTGAGACTGGCTCACCAAGGTGCTGACATTGGCGCGCTCCCCCTCTCACCTCTGGTACCAGCGAAGACCTCGGAAGTTGAAAAACCCAAAACAAAGATGATCATAACATCAAGAAGGGACTATCCTCTCACCAAAGGCTTTCCTTACTCCCTAGAACATCTCCAAGCCTCGTACTGCAAACTTGCTCGCATTGACACGCGGGTGCTTTGTCTGAAGAAGCTCAGAAAACTAGACCTAAGTCATAATCATATTAAGCAACTGCCGGCGACTATTGGTGACCTGATCTGTCTTCAGGAGCTCAATTTGCACAACAACCACCTGGAGTCCTTCAGTGTCGCCCTGTGCAACTCCACCCTTCAGAAGTCTCTTCAGTTCTTGGACCTCAGCCAAAACAAAATCAAGGCTCTTCCAATTCAGTTTTGCCAGCTACGAGAACTTGTTAATTTGAAGCTCGATGACAATGAGTTGATTAGGCTGCCGTTCAAGATGGGCCAGCTAAGTCATCTACGCTTCCTGTCTGCAGCACGGAACAAGCTTCCCTTTTTGCCCAGTGATTTTAGGAAACTCTCTCTTGAGAACTTGGATCTGTTTGGAAATCCCTTTGAACAGTCTAATCCACTCGTTCCCAACATACAACTGAAAATACCATTGACTTTATTAGAATGTGCTGCAAGGGCAACTGTAAATTACAGGTAAGAGGAGTGAGAATGGAACTTGTTGCTGCTTATTTCAAACCTGTCAAGTAAAAACTCTCTTGATTAGGTTTTTTTCCTGCTTATGGCAATTGTTCGTCACATATTCCAAACCGTAAGGAATTTCACTTGTAATTTCATCTTTGTTGTGTGAGATAAAGCAGATTCTTGTAGTGATTTTGGGAGCACTTAGACAAAGCTATTGGTTGAACTATTATACTTCACAAAATGGGGAGCACCACAGCAGAA